ACAAATGAGTGAGATCATGTGATATTTATCTTTCTCTCACTGGCTTATTTCACTTAGAATAATGCTGTCTAGGTCCATCTATGCTGTTGCAAATGGTAAGAGTTCCTTCTTTTTTATAGCAGCGTAGTATTCCATTGTGTAGATGTACCAGTTTTCTAATCCACTCACTGCTGATGGGCACTTAGGCTGTTTCCAAATTTTAGCTATTGTAAATTGTGCTACTATGAACATAAGGGTGCATATATCCTTTCTAATAGGTATTTCTGGTTTCTTGGAATATATTTCTAGAAGTGGGATTACTGGGTCAAATGGGTTTCCACTTTTAATTTTTTGAGGAAACTCCATACTGTCTTCCATAGTGGCTGCACCAGTCTGCATTCCCACCAGCAGTGCACGAGTGTTCCTTTTTCTCCGCATCCTCTCCAGCACTTGTCTGTTTGTAGAGTTGTTGATGATAGCCATTCTGACAGTTGTGAGGTGGTACCTCATTGTCATTTTGATTTGCATCTCTGAGATGATTAGTGACTTTGAGCATGTTTTCATATGTCTCTTGGCCTTCTGTAGGTCCTCTTTCGAAAGCTGTCTGTTTAGGTCCTTTGCCCATTTTTTGATTGGATTGTTTATCTTCCTTTTGTTAAGTTGTATGAGTTCCCTGTAAATTTTGGAGATTAAACCCTTATCAGAGATAATATTGGGTTTTCTTGGTTTTTTGTTTGTTTGTTTGTTTTTGCTGTGCAGAAGCTTTTTATTTTGATGTAGTCCCATTTGTTTATTTTCTCCTTAATTTCCATTGCCGTAGGAGCTGTATCGGTAAAGATATTGCTACGACATATGTCTGATATTTTGCCGCCTGTGGTTTCCTCTAGTATTTTTATGGTTTCCCGTCTTACGTTTAAGTCCTTCATCCATTTGGAGTTTATTTTTGTGTATGGTGTAAGTTGGTGGTCAAGTTTCATTTTTTTGCATGTATCTGTCCAATTTTCCCAACACCATTTATTGAAGAGACTGTCTTGACTCCATTGTATGCTCTTGCCTCCTTTGTCAAATATTAATTGAGCATAATGGCTTGGGTCGATTTCTGGGTTCTCTGTTCAGTTCCATTGGTCTTTGTGCCAGTACCAGGCAGTTTTGAGGACAGTGGCTTTGTAATATAGCTTGATATCTGGTATTGAGATCCCTCCTACTTTGTTCTTCTTTCTCAGGATTGCTGCAGCTATTTGGGGTCTTTTTATTCCATATGAATTTTTGGAGAGTTTGTTCTAGGTCTGTGAAATATGCCGTTGGTATTTTTATGGGGATTGCATTGAATCTATAGATTGCTTTGGGTAGTATGGACATTTTAATGATGATTCTACCAATCCATGAACACGGTATATTCTTCCATTTGTTTATATCTTCCTCTATTTCTTTTTTCACTGTAGTCATTATTTCTTCAAATAGGTTTTCAATCCCTTGACCTCTCTCTTCTTCTGGTATGCTTGATATTGTCCCAGAGGTTCCTAAAATTTGTTTTTCTTTTTACTGTTCCAATTGGCTGTTTTCTCAACCTTGTCTTTCAGATCACTGACTTGATCTTCTGCCACATCTACGCTTCTGTTGATTCCTCTAATGTAGTCTTCATTTCAGTTATTGTGTTTTACATTTCTGACTGGTTCTTTTTTACTGTTTCTCTCTGTTTATTGAGGTTCTCACTGAGTTCATCTGTTCTTCTCCTAGGTTCATTGAGCATCCTTATAACCAGTGTTTTGAGCTCTGTGTCTGGTAGGTTATTCGTCTCCATTTTGTTTAGTTCTTTTTCTGGCATTTTGTCCTATTTCTTCACTTGGGACATGTTTCTCTGTTTCCTCATTTTGACTGAATCCCTGTGTGTGTTTGTATGTATTAGGTAGATCTGCTTCGTCTCCCAGACTTGGTAGGGTGGCCTATGTAGTAGGGGTTCTCTGGGGCCACTGGTTTAGTCTCCCTGTTCACCTGAGCCTGGTGCTCCAGGAGTATCCCTTGCGTGGCTTGTGTGTGCTCGCCTGTTTTAGTTGAGTCTTGGTTGCTGTACATCAGTGGGTGTGATTGACCCTCAAGCTGACTGGCTGTGAGGACTGACCGTGACTGCAGTGGAGAAGCTGTTGTGCATGGGCTGACCTCCTAGAGCAGGATTCACTTTCACTAGTGGCCAGCTGAGTTCGCTCGTTGGGTATGTCGTTTGTAGAGCTGGTTGGATGCTGCTCTGTTGTGGTCTGAAGCGAGCCACTGGGTGTGTGGGTTCTGGAGGCTCTTGGGAGGGACTCTGCTGCAGGCCAAGGTCAGCCACCATTTGTGCCTGGCTGGGGGCTGCCTGATGGGAGCTACAGTGTGACCTGTGCTTGGCTGCCACTTGTGCTAGGCGTGAGGGTGCTTGTGGGAGGCTATGCTGCAGACTGAACCTTGGGACCCTTTGGTTGGCACCACAATGTTTGCTGAGGCCATCTGCCACTTGTGCCATGCTTGTGGCCACTTAGTTGAAGTTATGTTTCAGGCCAACCTAGCTGCAGCTTATGCCAGGCTTGGGGACACCTTATGGGAGTTAAAATGCAATTTGAGACTGGTTGCTGCTTGTGCTGAGTTTGGGGCCATTCAGCAAGAGGTAGTACAGCATAGGGAACATAGTCAATAATCCTATATAATAAAAGCCTAATATGCTAGGTGTCTGGTTGGACGTTCAACCAATTAAAGTGTAATATGCTAATGATATGCTAAGTCTGCTCAACCGCTTGCTATGACGTGCACTGACCACCAGGAGGCAGGTTAGATCGGTAGGTTAGATTGCTGCTGGGGTCCAGCCAATTGGGACTGAGTGAGATGGGCCGGACATGCCCTGGAGCCCTCCCGCAGTCCCTCCCCGGCTGGCCAACCTCTTGCTTCCTTCCCTGGCCTCGATCGTGCAATGGTCGTGTTCCTTGGCCTGGCCTGTGCCCTCTTGCAACCTGGGACCCCCTCAGGGAATGTCAGCTGGTTTCAGCCTGATCCTGCAGGCCAAGCTGAGGGACCCCTCTGGTGCACAAATTCGTGCACCAGGCCTCTAGTATTGTAATAACTATGTATGGTGCCATGTGGGTACTGGAAATACCAGGGTGAACACTTTGTAGAGTGTATAATTGTCTAACCACTGTGCTCTACACCTGAAACTAACCATAATAACACTGAATGGAAAAAGAAGTGGTGGCCAGTCATTGCTTGTTTGTTGTGTGTGGACCTTTGAGAGACTTCAGGAAGGTCCACAGCGAGAGCCAGGGCAAGCCCGCTGCCTGTGTGGGAAGTGGCTGGCCAGGCAGGAGTTGAGTGGGGCTGGTCTCGGGGAATCACCAGGGGGGGAAATAGCCAGGTTAGTGCAGCGCTCAGATTTGGCACCTGCCTGTGCCTGCAAGCGGAGTGAGGGGAGGGCTCAGCGAGGAGCAATGGCCACACCGGCCAGCGCTTTGGTCCCTCCCCTGCCCTCCAGCCCGAACCCTGAAGCCAGTCCATTCAGTCTCTCCCCACGTGTTCCTGGTGTTCAGGTGCCGCCCGCACTGGAGCCCAGGGCCAGTGAGTCTGAGCTGGGGAGTTTGTGCGTGGCCCCTCGAGAGAAGTTTCTAGGCCTCCAGCAGCCCTTGTCTACCTCAGATGCAGTCCCGCTGGTTTTTACAACCTGATGTTATGGGTCTTCTCTTCCCAGCATGGTGCCCGGTTGGGGCTCCTCACTCCTCAGGGGCCTTCCAGCCCAGCCATCCCTCCCGTTTCCTGATGACCACACCATGGATGTGGGAGCAGCCCCTGCTGCGTGTCTGCCCTCCCTGCCGTTGATGTGGCTGCCTTATGGCCTCTCTTCACAGTCTGCAGGTGCTTCGCCATGATGGCCACTCTGTAATCCAGTTGTGACTGATGTGGTTGTGGGAAGAGGCGAGGGCAGTGTTTGCCTACTCTGCCATCTTGATGCGAGTCTGAATCTTAATTTTGAACCTTTCTTATTTCCCATTTGTTAAAAATATTGGGGTGGAGGGGACAATTTAGTTAAAATACCTGTGTGTTTTGTTTTTAAGCAGTTTTACTGAGAAATGACTCACATACTATACAATTCATCCATTTAAAGTTTACAATTCGGTGGTTTTTAGAATATTCACAGAGATATACATCAGTTGCTCAGTTTTAGATAATTTTTATCACCTCAAAAAGAAACCATATAGCACTAACTACCATCTTTTTGCCCTTTACTGTATCCCAGCCCTAAGTACCAGTCTCTTTCTGTGTCTGTAGATTTTCCTATTCTGGATATTCCGTGTAAATGGAATCTTATAATATATGGTTTATGGTGACTGGCTTCTTTCACATGTTCATCCATATTGCAACATGTATCAATACTTTATTCCTTTAAAAATTATTTCTTTTTATGGCCTACTGATATTCCTTGTCTAGATATACTGCCTCGGCAGCCTGGGCCCTGGACCTCTCAGAGTCTGAGCGAGAGAGCCACATTGTATTTGTCCATTCATCGGTCCATGGACATTTGGTTGTTTCTGCTTTGTGGCTATTGTGACCAATGTGGCTGTAAATATTTGCTTACAAGTTTTTGTGTGGACATATATTTTCATTTCTTCTGGGTACATACCTAGGAATGGAATTGCAGAATCATATGGAAAATCCCTATTTTTGTCTCAGTGAAAATGTGTGTGTGTGTGTGTGTGTGTGTGTGTGTGTGTGTGTTTGTGGACTAGAGGCCCAGTGCACGAAATCTTGCACGGGTGGGGTCTGGCCGGCCTGCCCAGATCGATTGAGGGTGGGGAGGGGCTGTGGGCAGTTGGCCCCACCCCATGGTCGAACTCCCAGTCGAGGGGACAATTTGCATATTAGCCTTTTATTATATAGGATATCATTTTACTGTTATATATCAGTTCAGAAAGAAAGCATTATCTTAGCACTAGAAGGAAGTAGATAGTTATAATTTCTTCTAAAAATAACTATATTTCATTGCATTTATTAAAACTTGTGTTTAGCCTTCCTGCAGGATGCTGTTTTCGCTGCTCCTTTGTGAATGTCTGTGGCTGATCGCTGGCTTTGCTCATGATGATGACTGGATTGACCCCACGGACATGCTCAACTATGATGCTGCGTCCGGAACAATGAGGAAATCGCAGGTGTGTGTGTCAGACCTCATCGGTCCTTGGGTGGAAATAGTCTGCAGTTGTTGGGTTTACTCAGAACTGTGAAGGTCGTGTATCCATGATTGGCAGTCACACAAGGTACTTCATGACACGTAGTCTAAGATCATCTCACCCCATCTGCATATTTCTTTTTTGAAAAATTTTTTAATATATTTTATTAATTTTTTACAGAGAGGAAGGGAGAGGGATAGAGAGTTAGAAACATCGATGAGAGAGAAACATCGATCAGCTGCCTCCTGCACACCCCCAACTGGGGATGTGCCTGCAACCAAGGTACATGCCCTTGACCAGAATCGAACCTGGGACCCTCCAGTCCTCAGGCCGATGCTCTATCCACTGAGCCAAACCAGCCAGGGCTCTGTTTTGAATTTGAATGTAAAGCCCATCAGGTAGCAAACTAATTTGATTTTAATTCTTAGTTGATACATAAATTTGAGACTTAATTTTTTGGTGGTTCAATACAGTTGAAAATTATAACAAGAAAAGTTATAAAATGGAGAAGTTAAAATTTTAATCTCCACTTACAGACTTTTTTACAAGTGAACTATGAAGAAATAAGAAATCTTTGCTCTGCTTTAGGTGAGAAAGGAGGTCAGTGCGGACTCGTCATACGCTGATGAATTGTCGGGATGTTACAGCAAACTTGATTCTGTAATTCATAAGGTTAGATTTTTTTCATTCATGAATTTTATAGTATGTCAGATTTCTCTCTGTTTTCTGTGCTTGCTGGCATTGTTTTTGTTTCTATGTACTGTGCAATTTATATATACAGTTGATGCCTGAACAGTGGGGGGGGGGTACTAACCCCCCTACACAGTTGAGAATCCTTGTATAACTTTTGACACCCCCAAAACATAACTATTATTAGCTGTTGTTCAGAGGCCTTCCTGACCACATAACAGTCGATGAACACATACGTTGTGTGTTATATTATACTATATCCTTACCTTACAGTAAGCTGGAGAAAATACATTTAGAGTACAGAATGCATTTATTGAAAAAAAAATCTGATTAAGCCCTGAACAGTTCAAACCCATGTTATTCAAGGATCAACTGTGTATTATTATTTTTTTTTGCTTACTCTAGCCTTGGTTTTTTAAGCAGTTACTCTGGTCTTGTTGTTAAATAGTGCTTTTATTTTCCTGTAATGACATTTATCTCATTATATTATAATCATTTCCTTACCAGACTGAAAATTTCTTGGGACAAAGAATGTGTTTTATTCATTCTTGGTTCTCTGTCACCAGTCACAGTGTTAGAGTGTAGTAGACTCATGACAAATGTAGCAAATGGAGAAATGGGCCTGTTCCCAGCTTAGAAGCGTGGAGTTCCTCTCACAAATATAAGGATGCTTCATTTCTTCACTCCTGTTGTGTGGCTGAGGTAGCCTTCATGGGAAGGGAGAGGAGTCAGGGTTGTTGAGGGGTTTGGACGTAGGCTGTGCTGTGGGAACCACCTCTGTTGGTGTGGAGGCCGACTAGCTGGTGGCAGTGGAGGGGCCTGGGCGGAGAGGGGGTGGCTGAGGTCCGGCGGTGCTGACAGCTCAGACTGAGGCAGGGACAGCGAAGCGACCGGTGGAAGAGAAGAGGCAAGTGTTGTAGCTGAGGGGAGGGGGCAAGTGTGGGGAGAGCTAGTGGGAGGGTGGGAGGGAGTTTCCAGGGTAAGGGGAGCACTTGTTCGCTGAGACGCTAAGCACCTGCTTGGGGTTCTTAGCAGACGTGACCCTCTGAGCCGAATGCTAGCAAAGAAATGTGGATAAAGTTTGCCTCCAAATGCAGACCTGCCTTTTTATATACATTTTACTGTTTTAAACATTGTAAAAAACGGCATGGGTAAAATGGAGTCTTTGCTCCTTGTTTTAAAAAAACAACGACATTGTTTCTCTTAAAGAAACATTTTAAAAAATTTAAAGCAAGCATGTCAAACCCAAGGCCCGAGTTTGCATGCTTGTTTTAAAGGTTTATGAACCTTGCCTGGAAGCAGTGGAAGTGGCCACGTGACTTCTCTCTCAAGTGTCCTGTCCTGAGTTTGTGCTCACTGTTACCTTGTGTACCATCCGAGGCCCCTTTCCGTGCTCAGGGTCCACACTCAGTTTTAAAAACATGTTCTAACGTTTGTGAGACATGCCTTGCCCTCACTGGCGACTTGACCACCGAGTGTCTGTAGAGCTGAGTTCAGAGGACGTCTGTCCTGGTGAAGGTGTGCGTGCTGAGGGGCTGCCACGTGGAGGACACATGACGAAGCCATGGTTCCTGTCCTCCGAGGCGTCCGTGCAGAGGGGGTGGTCAGTCGTTGACAGGAGAAGTTAATAAAAGGCCAAAGTCATAGGCCCATCCAGGAAATTCTTTGCTGTGTCTCCTCCTCCTGGCTTCATCCTGTTTCTCTGTGCTTCCTTCCCTCCCTTCCTCCCTTCCTCCCTCCCCCCCCCCCCACCCCTTCTTCTCTTTCCCTCCTCACTGTCTGCCATTACAAAGAGACACCTTGGTCCAGATGTTCTGCTTGTCCACATCGCTGCCCCCTTGCTTTATGATCTTCAGCTTTAAAAGAGCTGAAAGTCAGTAGAAAAACTGCTGGTCACAGCTAAGTGCTGGGCGTGTGTTCCTCATTTGTAGTCTCCCTGACCTTTGCAAAGAGAGAGCCCACAGGCAGCAGGCAAGCTCTACATAATGCAAGCTTAATAACAGGCGGCACCTGCCCCGGCTGGTGTGGCTCAATGGTTGGGTGTCGCCCTGTGCACTGAAAGGTTGCCGGTTCCATTCCCAGGCAGGGCACATGCCCAGACTGTAGGCTTGATCCCCAGAGGTCACGCAGGAGGCAGCTGATCAGTGTTCCAATCTCACATTGATGTTTCTCTCCCTGCCTCTCTCTCTAAAAATCAATAAAACGTGAAAAACCAAACAAACAGCGCTTTACCTTGGTTTTGATGGGGCCACTAGGTTAGAAACTTGACCCTTACATTAAACTTGATGCTAACTGTTGATTTTTGGTGTATGATTACAGGTTGATGAATGTGAAAAGAAAAAGAGGAAAGACTGTGAAAGTCAAAATAATCCTGTTTTTAGGAGATACTTAAATAAGATTTTAATTGAAGCCAGGAAGCTTGGACTTGTGAGTATTGGTGGTGTGATACTAATTAAGGTAGTGGGTATCTTCATTATTTATTAATGTCCAATTATATAAAGCAGTGAGGGAGCACCATTGTGCTGTAACAGAATTCCGGGCTGACCCTGGGACCAGAACCGGTTCGTGCCGAGGTTTGGTGGAAGGCAGTGCAGGCCGCTCCTCTCTTCCTTCTCGTTCATGGGGATTTACTTCCTCAGCCTGTGCACTGCCCAGCCATTTAATGCAGTTGGGGGTGGGTGTTGTTTTCAGTTTGCTATTTGAACTTGACCAAACAGTTGGAAACAAACTACTGACTGGGTTAAGGAAATCCCGCCTGGCCTTGACTGGTTTTCTCCCACTTCCACACCTGCTCCTCAGATGATGAAGAGCCTTGCCTGTGGAGGAGGAGGAAATGTGTTTAAGTAGTTTCCCCCCGAGCTGTGTGCTGTGCAAGTGCTGCTTTTAGAGAATTGGATGTTGTGCACATACCGTTCGCAGGAACCCAGCCCTGCATGTCCCTGAGGAGCCATGGCTTAGTATGGGCTCATTAATGTTTGAGGTGACTTTATAGAATATAACTACTGCAGATAGCAAGACGCAACTGCATTTTAGTAAAATGTACATTGTTTGCGTAGTTTTACCTTTCTGAAATGTTTTTCACATGTATTATCTTTGGTTTTCATGTGGCCTGTGAGAGGGTGGGTGTTGTTATCCTTACGCTATGTGTGAATACTGTGAACTAACTATATATTTAGTTCCAAATTGGCTTTCGTCTTGAAACGTTTCACTAGGTAATATAATAAAATTCTCTTTCCTGTTGTTTGTTTTTTGGCAAATTGACCTCAGCCGGATGAAAACAGAGGTGACATGCACTACGATGCTGAGATTATCCTTAAAAGACAGACCTTGATAGAAATAGAGAAGTTTCTCAATGGGGAAGACTCGCTGCCAGGCGCCCTGGATGATGCACTAAGTGATATTTTAATTAATTTTAAGTTTCATGATTTTGAAAGATGGAAGTGGCGATTTGAAGATTCCTTTGGCGTGGATCCATATGATGTGTTTATGGTAGGCTGGGTGAGGGGGGCACGGTTAACAGGTTTTAAAAAACTGTTCAAACTCCACCATAATTGTGTTAAGAACCTGGACTAAGTCACTCATACTGTGTTGATGAACTTTCAGCAAAATGGTACAAATGATTTTGCATATTTAAAAAATATATTTTTATTGATTTCAGAGAGAGGAAGGGAGGGGGGAGAGAGCTAGAAACATCAGTGATGAGAGAGAGTCATTGATCGGCTGCCTCCTGCACGCCCCACACTGGGGATGGAGCCTGCAAACCGGCATGTGCCCTGACCAGGAATCGAACCCAGGACCCTTCAGTTCGCAGGCTGACACTCTATCCACTGAGGCAAACCAGCCAGGGCGATTTTGCACATTTGAGTCCAGTTTTTAGTTTTTGTTGGTGCTGTGGTTTGGTGGGGAGGACGGCTCGGCAGTGACTCTGTCGTCTCTTGCTTCTGTTTGAGGTGCTTCTGTGTCTGCTCTGCATCGTGATGCTAGTAGCCACCCAGCTCTGGACGTATGTTCGTTGGTACACCCAGCTGAGACGTATTTTACTCATCAGTTTCCTCATCAGTTTGGGATGGAATTGGATGTATTTATACAAGGTATTAATTAGGTGGAAGGTTTTAAAATTTTTAAATGATATTTCTTGATAAAAGAAGAGATAATCCATGTAGAGTTAGTATATAACCTGCTTATTTTAGTGATTTGGGATATGTTTTATTCTTTGCTAGAAATGATATCAAAATATTAGTTTTTAAAAGTTAGGTTATTTCCTGAATATAAAATAGTATGTTTAAGGTAGAGAATTTAAAGAAGTTAAGTACAGAGAAATTTAACTTTTAAATATCACCCTATAATCTATCACCTAGAGATAGTCACTGCCAGTATTTTGAGACACTACTTTGCAATCTTTTTTCCTAAGTTTTAACTCTTTCAAAATTGAAATCAGGCTGAACCCTAACCTAACTCTAAACCTAAAAAAAAATCAGGACCATGCTGTATATAGAGATTTAAAGACGCGCTGCTGCTCCTGTCACAGTGGTCTAATCATTACAGGACAGTTTCAGATCTGTCCAGCAGGGGAGTCAAACAGCCTGATATTTTTAATGAATTCATCAGATTAGACCATTGTGATTTTTAAAAGCCTTTTGCTCTAAGTTACTAGAACTTGTAATTATTTAAAATTAAAGGAAGGAAGGTTGTTTGGTTGAATGTGGTCATCTCACTGATTTCCCTGGGGGCTTTAATTTATAAAAGATACATTCTCGTTTATAGGCCACTTGCACTGAAAACCACCCAAAGCAAAACCCCATCTTACCGTGAACTGAGCAGCAGCGTTTAACATACATGGCGATATTTTGGGGTGTGGTGTGAACCATATTTGAACTAATTTTTTAAAATTAGTGACAAGGTTCTCCTTCCTCATCTTAATTCCGTAAGAAGTCAGTTGTACTCTGTTCTTTATCGGGGCTTGAAGCATTAACACTGTGCTTTGCCATGAGCTAAAGAGCCTCTCTTTAGAAACAAGAGGTGCATCTTTTCTGTTAAACCTTTTAAACAACCTGGTGTCTGAACTACGGCGTTTGGGGGGTGGGGCGTAGCCATTGCTAGTAGCGCTCACGCTTCCCTGGGTGTTGGTCAGGTGGCTTTCGCGCAGCATCAGGCCGAAGTCGCCAAGATGGAGCCGCGAAGCAACGTGTGTGCTGAGAAGATGGACTGGTCCGGGAGCCTCTGGGGTAAGTGCTGCTGGTTCCCGCGGCCTTGTTTTGAATAGAATGTTTGAGAATGAGAAAACGTTAAAAATGACAAAGAAATGATAAAATAGCAGGAGGGTTTCCAGGACTGAATCTTCAGGATCAGAAGAACAAGCAGGAAGACTGAGGTTTCAAAGGTAAATCAGGAGAAGAGACAGTCTTGTTAATTATAAATTATTTTTTGATCCTTTGTTACGACTTTATGTATTTTTTAAAATATATTTTTATTGATTTCAGAGAGGAAGGGAGAGGGGGAGAGAGAGAGAGAGAAACATCAAATGATGAGAGAGAATCATTGATCGGCTGCCTCCTGCACACCCCTTGCTGGGGATCGAGCCCATAACCCCGGCATGAGCCCTTGACTGGAATTGAACCCAGGACCTTTCAGTCCGCAGGCTGATGCTCTGTCCACTGAGCCACACCAGCTAGGGCATGACTTTATTTTTTAATTTATTGGGGTGACATTGGTTAATAAAATTTTATAGGTTTCAAGTGTACAATTCTGTGATACATCATCTGTAGATTGCATTGTATGTTTACCACCTGAAGTCAAATCTTCCATCACCATATATTTGACCCCCTTTACTCTTTACTACCCTCCAGTAAAGGGCATTTATTATGGCAATAGCTGATCATTTTCAAGCATAGATGGTAAAGAGAAGTAAATTAAATTGTCTTAAAATTGATAGCTTGAAGCAGTAAGAATACTTAAAATTGACCCAGGTTTCTGACTTTTGTGCCTAATGTATATAAACCGGATGATGTATCTTGGGGTGTCATTTTTCTCAGTTTATCAGTATGATTACATAGAGATATAAAAATGCAACTATATACATTGTCCATAGTTTACTGTATCAAAATGGCATCTTGGATTATTTATTTAGAATATGCTAAATTATAAAAAGAACACATTGACTATATTTGTGGATAAAACATAACTTAATTCTCACAGTTATATTCAAGGCTTCTGTTTGATATATAGGCTGGGGAAAAACAGTTGTAATACAAGGAAATAATACAATAATGAATAAATAATAATACAAGAAAAAACTGCTTCGTGTACTCACAACTATAAACCTACTTTTGCCCACCCCTGTATATCATGCATTTTAATTATATTAAAGTATTGTATACTTTTACTATATTTCCCTTATTTTGTTTTTTGGATTGGGAGGGAAGAAGGCAGAGGAGGTGGGGGAGACAAATGGAGATTTTTAGAGTTACTGAACAAACACGTATATACATTTTTCTTAACATGAAGGAAATATTAAAAAATGCTTGCCAGCACTTTGATTTATAAAGTCAAGCTAATAAGCAGCATTTGTAAATATTCCTATTTAAAAAAAAAAAGAGTCTTAGGTTTCCGTCCAGTGAGTTTTGTGTTCATGTGACATCACAGGGCAGGACTAGACACTGTATATTCGCTGACTGGTGTGGCCTGTCTCCCTCCATTCGCCTGAGGATGCCGTGCCCACCTGCCCGTCGCACAAGGTCTCGCTCATTCTAGGTCCTCAACATGAGTTTATTAAAGAAGTGAATCTCTCTATATAAATGAATATCCATTTAGATTTAATCTCCTTATATTGATTTATGACATCTTATATTGTAGCTTTACTATTTTTTTTTTTAACTAGGGGAAATTATTTTTTTTCGTACACATTTTTATAAATATTTTCAGTAATGTTGACTGCCTTTAGTTATGTATATCTAGCAGTGGAAATGGTTCAGTGTTCAAAGACACTTTATACATAAATGCAAGTCCCTGATGACTAATCCAGAACAGAATTTCAGCAGATTCTTAATCAGGTGCCCAAAATTAATGTTTCTTAAGACATTATGGGAACTAAACCAACCCAGCCTTGCTTCGTGGCTTCATGGACAACCAGTGCCTCCTCTGGCTCAGGCTAGTACGTAATGTGAGCCTGATTTAGAAGAGTTGGGAGAACTAATGTTCTACTTCATTTTATAAAATGAGGAGAGAACTGACTTTTAAAGTGACATTATTGTAGATTCACAGGTAGTTGTAAGAAGGAACACAGGGAGGTGCTGTGTGCCCTCCCTGGTGGAGGCACGACTACTAGTCCAGGGGCCCAGCCTGGACAGGGACTTCGATACAGTCCAGTCTCACTCAGAGCGCCCCCGTTTTCAGATAGTTACCTTTTAGAAATCTTTGTAACATCATCTGTTATCTGCATAGGATTTGTAGAATTTGAATGGGTTTTTAAAATGAACATTTTGGACATACGATGAAAAAATTTTTAAATTGGCATCATGGAGTCTAATTTTGTAAAACAATTTAAAATTGATTAGTGGTGGTGGCAGGGGTTATATTGTCTTATTCGGGAATGAAATGCAGCTCTGTTTAAATGGCAGTGTTTTGTCTTTCTCCAAATAGAATGGTTTAGAAGTTCATGGACCTATAAGGATGACCCCTGCCAAAAGTACTATGAGCTCTTACTCGTCAATCCTGTTTTGTTGGTACCACCAACAAAGGTATGGAATGTGTCTTGTAAAAATGACATAACAAAGTAAGTCCAAACACCCTTGCATATATTAAAAATTGTAGGTGTTTTTAATTTTTTAATTTTTATTTATTGATTTGAGAGAGAGGGAGCGCGAGAGAAACATCAATTTGTTCCATTCATTGGTTGATTCTTGTGTGTGTCCTGATTGGAGATAGGACCCAGAACCTTGGTGTATCTAGGGTGATGCTCTAACCAGGTGAGCTACCTGGCCAGGGCAAAAATTGTTAGTTTGTTTTTTTTTTTTAGTCTTTTTGCTAATAACCTTTGTTCTAGAAAGAATATACTTCCATTGCACAGTGATTTTTCACATTTTTAAAAGCATATGACAACATTTTAATGTATGTAACATAACTTCAGTCTCAGTGCCCAGGGCATTTTGGCTCATTCTAGGTGCCTCAGTCGTTTGAGGGGAAAAATGAAGTTGCTTTTACCATTTTTAGGCCCTGGCAGTGACGTTCACCAACTTTGTGGTGGAGCCGTTGAAGTACATCGGAAAGGGAACCGGGGAGTTCATCAAAGCGCTCATGAAGGAGATCCCCGGGCTCCTGCACGTCCCGGTGCTCATCGTCATGGCGCTGGCGGTCGTGGTCAGTACAGGGCCTGCCCACAGGTCACGGGGTTTACAGAACAAGGCCTTGCTGGTGTGAGAAGGGACTTTTGGGTGGCACAGCTGTGTGCATACTTCCGTGTGTGGGCCTCTCAGCAGGGACACAGTGCTCCAGTGGGATTGTAGCTGCCATGGCGGTGATTTAAAATAAGACCTGCCTTTCAGTTGGTTCTTTGCACGTGATGAAGCAATACACACACAGTCAATCGTTTTGTTTTTTTAATCCTCACCCGAGGATATTTTTTCCATTGCTTTTTTTAGAGAGTGAAAGGGAGGGAGGAGGTGGGAGAGGGAGGGAAGAAAGGAAGGGAGGGAGGGGGAGAGAGAGAGAGAGATACATCGATTGGTTGCCTCCCACACGTGCCCTGCCTGGGGCTGGGGATGGGACCTGCAACCATGAGGTACATGCTCTTGACTGGGAATTGAACTGGAGACCCTTCCCTCCGAGGGAGGGCCGCTGCTGTAACCACTGAGCCACCGGCCTGGGCTCAGGTCCTCCTTGAGAAAGGGGTGTCCTCGCTGTCGCCTGAGTGTTGCAGCGTTGCTAGGGAAACGCCCGGGCTCTCAGCCTCAGAAAGGGGCGGGAGGTGGGCGCCCTGACAGTGGGCGATTCAGGACGTTTATTAGGGAGAAATGGACTCCTCACTCCGCCGTGGTCTTCAGCTTCCTGTGCCGTTGGTTGCCAGCTTTTACCCAGTAAAGCCCTTGTCACATGAAGCAAACCGGACGCACGAGTGCACCTGGGAAGGGGTGAAGGAGTGTCTCCCGGACTCATCCGCTGCTCTTCCGCTTTGAGGCTGTCCCTGCTTTGGCTTTGGTGTCTGATGACGGGTCCGGTGGGTCAGGGTCAGGTTTAGTTCGGTGACAGTCGTACGGTTTAGTCTCTGACACTGAAATTGTGTGCAAAACCGCCATCTCTAGTTTACCTGCCTCTGTCTTCAGAACGGCCTCTCATACAGATGTTTGTTTTCGGGGCCCTTGCACTCTTCAGAATCGAAAACCACAAGGAGCCTTTGTTTATGGGGATTTTATTTGTTGATATTTAACATATTAAGAAATAAGACAAAAATTTAAAATACTGAGACATTTTAGACTATTTAAAAACATTTTTTTAATCCTCACCCACGGATATTGTTATTATTTTGTGGGGGTTTTTTGGTTAATCCTCACCTGAGGATATTTTTCCATTGATTTTTAGAGAGAGTGGAAGGGAGAGGGAGAGACAGAAACATTGATTGGTTGCCTCCTGCACACACCCCGACCAGGGCCGGGGAACCTGCAACCAAGGTGCCCTTCACCGGAATCGAACCCAGGACCCTTCAGTCCGAGTGCCAACGCTCTGTCCACTGAGCTAAACCGGCTGGGGCCCAAAGATATGTTTTCATTGTGTTTTTTTTAGAGAGAGAAAGTGGGGGGAGAGAAACATTGATCAGTTGCCTTCCTTACATGCCTGCCTGGAGAATCAAACCCGAGGCCCTTCGGTGCACGGGATGATGCTCCAACCAGCTGAGCCACGCCTGCAGGGCTGACATGCTGGGGCCACTTTAAAATGCAGGTCTGCACAAGCACACAGCCCACGTGCCTTCAGCAAGGAAGGCGCTGAAGCCAGAAGTCGCCACTTACACCCCAGGGAGTGTGGGGAGAAGTGTTGACTTCGAAGAGCCCCTGGGGGCGTCTGGGGTCCTCCCCGCGCTCCAGGGCCCAGGTGAACTGCTGCCTAGAGTGTCCCCCAGCCTGCCACTCAGAGCCTGTGGAGTTGTAGCTGTAGCTAAACCACGTTTGGATTGGTAAAAAAAAAAAAAATTTAACCTGCAGGAGAATGTTTACATGATGATGTGCAACGGAACAGTTTTCAGCATTGACCTGATTTGAGGGGTATGAATATAGACAGTATGTGCGCAGTTATCAGTACCTTCCCATGGAAGTTTCTAGGCTTTAGCCTAACTGCCATTGTTATAATTCAATCAAACTCTCTAGCTGCTTGAAAAGTCTACTTAATACTGAGTGATTTCTCAATTTTTATTGGCTACTCTGGCCCCGTATTAAAGAAGAGACTTCTAATGAAAAGAACAAACAGTTCAATGAACATGGTTATGTCTGCAAATGCCACAAGTTGAATTACATAATTCTGTTAGCACCCTGAATGAAAAGCCCCTCGTAGTGTACGTCAGCCGTCACGTACTCAGAAATGCGGTGTCTTTTCCTTCTAGAGTTTCTGCTATGGTGCTGGACAGTCGGTCTTTATGCTGCGACCCTTCGGTCCCGCCAGAGAGCCCCCCCTGGCTCTACAGCCAGGTGACAAGCGCCGGCAGCAGGAAATTGACTATAGACCCCGTGGTGGAGCAGGTGATGCAGACTTTGGTTCTAGGGGCTACCTTGGCCTCGTTGAGCAAGGCCCGTATGACAGACCGTGTGAGAGTAGAAGAGATGTTGGGAGAGAGAGAGTTGTTGACGTGAGATTTCAGACTGGCCACAAGAGCCCCGAAGTGCTCCGGGCGGTTGATAGACCAGACGCAGAGGCGCGAGAGCATCCCGCGGCGCCCAGCGTAAGTCACAGCGTGCGTGTCTGTCCTTTGCTCTAGGCCTCGGTGCTGCCCGCAGGCTGCGCTTCACTCCTACCTGCACTGTTGGTTTTGTCACTGACGGTGTAATTACTCACATCTTCCCCTGCTGGTCCAGGTTAGTCCGAGCTCCTAGAGGAATGAGGTGGTTGCGTGAAGTGCTCTTTAGCAGGTTTGTTAGCACAGACGAAGGAAACCAAGCAGTGAGCGTGGCTGATTTTTTACAGAGAGGAAGGGAGAGAGATAGAGAGTTAGAAACATCGATGAGAGAGAAACATCGATCAGCTGCCTCCTGCACATCCTCCCACTGGGGATGTGCCCGCAACCCAAGTACATGCCCTTGACCGGAATCGAACCTGGGACCCTTCAGTCCGCAGGCCGACGCTCTATCCACTGAGCCAAACCGGTTTTCGGCTCCATTGATTTTTAGAGTGAAAGGGAGGGGGAGAGACATGGATTGGTTGCCTCCTGCACATGCCCGACTAGGGCTGGGGTTTGAACTGGAATCGATCCTAGGATCCTTCAGTCTGCAGGCCAATGCTCTATCCACTGAGCCAAACCAGCTAGGACGACATTTCCATTTTTGTTTGAGGCAGGAATTTGTATTGTCATTTGCAAAGTTGAAGTTGCAAGTGTAAACCTTTGAAAAATAATACGAACACAGTAGAGCTGAGGAAGTTATAGATTCCCTTCCTACGCAGCTCCTTATAAGCAGAAATATCTGCATGGAAAACTGAAAGGTGTTCCTTTCAGCTTTAAGAGTTAATGTCTATCTGTCACTCATCTCCGGAATCCTCCTGTGACTTCCCATCACACCTCACGTGGAGTGGAAGCCAAAGTTGCCGCCATGGCTCAGGGCCATCTGCCCACGCCCCCCCTCTTCCGTGCTGACCCCCCCCCCCCCCTCGCTGCGCTCCTGACTGGTCCTCGAGCTCAGAGCCTCCGAGCCTGGTAGTCACCGTCCGGAATCGTTGCCCACGGCCACTTCATCTCTTCACGCCTTTACTCACCGAGCCCCTTTCAGACCAGCAGTCCCACCCCCTCCGCCTCCTTCCAGGGTGAGGCTTTGCTAATTGGTTTGTTGCCGATTCTCTCCCCAACCTGAAAGGAAGTCCCGGTGAGGGCAGGGTCTTCCTGGCCTGTCCCTGCAGTGTCCCCAGCATCTAGCACTAGTCCAGTGATGGCGAACCTTTTGAGCTCAGCGTGTCAGCATTTTGAAAAACCCTAACTTAACTCTGGTGCTGTGTCACATATAGAAATTTTTTGATATTTACAACCATAGTAAAACAAAGACTTATATTTTTGATATTTATTTTATATATTTAAATGCCATTTAACAAAGAAAAATCAACCAAAAAAATGAGTTCGCGTGTCACCTCTGACACGCGTGTCATAGGGTCGCCATCACTGCACTAGTCGGTGCTCAGCAGATGCTTGTCAGAGGACTTACTCTCACCAGGTCAGGAGTTCGCAGTCCTGGTCCCCAGGCCTGACCACGCTGTGTCCTCCGTGTCCCGCTCCTCCATGTGGCTCCTGGAGGCTGACCATTCGTGTCATTACAGTCCAGCATTAGAATTCAGATTTGCATGGACACTTGTTGGACATGATTACCAGCCTTTCACATCGTTACGGAAACAGTTGAAACAAGATGTACTTCTGTGCTTTCTAGGCCAGAGAGACTGATGGAGCCCCGGAAAGAAGCGCACCCCGGGAGGAAGCGCACCCCGGGAGGAAGGCAGAGGGCAGCACCGAGAGCAGCCGGCATCCTGAGCCCGGCTCTGGCCAGGGGGCGCCAGGGGTGGCAGAAGATCCTGCAGCGGGAAAGGCCCCACTCAGGATTCAGGACGAAGGCAGCCCCGAGGAGGGCGGCACACCCCGCCCAGCGAGCACAGCTGTCGCAGAAGCAGGTGGGAGAGACCCGGCCGGTGGCCCATGAGGCTGGAGGAGCCCTGACTCGCACCACAGCTTGGAGGCCATCTTTTTGTAAAGAATCTTGTACACTCTTCACAACTGTTTCCTACAGATTTCTGACATTTACTCCAAAAATGTGCCAACTTAAGCATTAATATTTTTACTGACAATCAGAATAACACATGTATTTCTGTTCATTTAACTTCTTTTATCTGTTTTATTATGTATTCTCTTTGATGTTAAGATACATCCCATAAAGTTTTGAAGTAGTAATTGTGGAACAGGAGCTCATAGGTGAACAAGGGTGGCAGGCAGTACTAATTCCGAATAATTAAGGAAGCCAGTGAGAATGAGGGACCCTGAACAAGAAGTTTTCTTGTTTACAGGCATATACGGGAGCCCGGTAACCAAGGTGTGTGCTGCCTGGTAGGAGTCCTGTAAGACCTACCTCAGTCAGGAGACTAATGTGTTCGCTGTGCACGGCACCCCAGAGGGGCAGGTACTCACAGACCGTTTTTAAGGAAAGTCCACTCTGCATGTCCTTCAGCATCTCCTGGGCCTCGGGCCTGCACTACAGCATCCGTGTCTCTGCAGGCGGCACACCCATCAGAGTGGCTTTGTAGCCTCATGTTCTACTTGCATCTCTCAACCCGCAGCTGTTGCTGGGGCTGCTTCCTCATCACCCCTTTCACTCTCCTGAGACAGACTGGCGGTGGCGGGGACTTTGGGTAGCAGCGTGTGCGGTGATCTCAGCTCAGGTAGGGAATGGGTCCAGAGTGGCTGTTTCCCCCGCGGTGAAGGGTGCAGACTTTGGAGGCCCGTGTGCCTGGCTGCTCAGAACCCAGCAGCGCGGACTGTTAGCTGAGACAGTTTCTTACATTCTAGCAAACCGTGTGGTCAGGG